TCCAGACTGTTCCCCTGTGGGAGAGCAGACCTCCGGCCTCAGACCTCCGGCCTCAGACCTCCGGCCTCACCTCCGGCCTCACCGCCGGCCTCAGACCGCCGGCCTCAGACCTCCGGCCTCAGACCGCCGGCCTCAGACCGCCGGCCTCAGACCGCCGGCCTCAGACCTCCGGCCTCAGACCCGCCGGCCTCAGACCCGCCGGCCTCAGACCGCCGGCCTCAGACCTCCGGCCTCAGACCCCCGGCCTCAGACCTCCGGCCTCAGACCTCCAGCCTCAGACCTCCGGCCTCAGACCCGCCGGCCTCAGACCTCCGGCCTCAGACCTCCGGCCTCAGACCCTCCGGCCTCAGACCGCCGGCCTCAGACCCGCCGGCCTCAGACCCGCCGGCCTCAGACCCGCCGGCCTCAGACCTCCGGCCTCAGACCCGCCGGCCTCAGACCTCCGGCCTCAGACCCGCCGGCCTCAGACCTCCGGCCTCAGACCGCCGGCCTCAGACCGCCGGCCTCAGACCTCCGGCCTCAGACCGCCGGCCTCAGACCCGCCGGCCTCAGACCTCCGGCCTCAGACCGCCGGCCTCAGACCTTCGGCCTCAGACCCGCCGGCCTCAGACCCGCCGGCCTCAGACCCGCCGGCCTCAGACCTCCGGCCTCAGACCCGCCGGCCTCAGACCTCCGGCCTCAGACCCGCCGGCCTCAGACCTCCGGCCTCAGACCGCCGGCCTCAGACCCGCCGGCCTCAGACCTCCGGCCTCAGACCGCCGGCCTCAGACCGCCGGCCTCAGACCTCCGGCCTCAGACCCGCCGGCCTCAGACCCTCCGGCCTCAGACCCGCCGGCCTCAGACCTCCGGCCTCAGACCTCCGGCCTCAGACCCGCCGGCCTCAGACCTCCGGCCTCAGACCGCCGGCCTCAGACCGCCGGCCTCAGACCCGCCGGCCTCAGACCCAGACCCCGGCCTCAGACCCGCCGGCCTCAGACCCGCCGGCCTCAGACCCGCCGGCCTCAGACCCGCCGGCCTCAGACCCGCCGGCCCTCAGACCGCCGGCCTCAGACCCGGCCTCAGACCCGCCGGCCTCAGACCTCCGGCCTCAGACCGCCGGCCTCAGACCCGCCGGCCTCAGACCCGCCGGCCTCAGACCGCCGGCCTCAGACCGCCGGCCTCAGACCGCCGGCCTCAGACCTCCGGCCTCAGACCCGCCGGCCTCAGACCTCCGGCCTCAGACCCGCCGGCCTCAGACCGCCGGCCTCAGACCGCCGGCCTCAGACCGCCGGCCTCAGACCCGCCGGCCTCAGACCCGCCGGCCTCAGACCCGCCGGCCTCAGACCCGCCGGCCTCAGACCGCCGGCCTCAGACCCGCCGGCCTCAGACCGCCGGCCTCAGACCCGCCGGCCTCAGACCCGCCGGCCTCAGACCTCCGGCCTCAGACCGCCGGCCTCAGACCTCCGGCCTCAGACCCCGCCGGCCTCAGACCTCCGGCCTCAGACCGCCGGCCTCAGACCGCCGGCCTCAGACCCGCCTCCGGCCTCAGACCGCCGGCCTCAGACCGCCGGCCTCAGACCCGCCGGCCTCAGACCCGCCGGCCTCAGACCGCCGGCCTCAGACCCTCCGGCCTCAGACCCGCCGGCCTCAGACCCGCCGGCCTCAGACCGCCGGCCTCAGACCGCCGGCCTCAGACCGCCGGCCTCAGACCGCCGGCCTCAGACCCGCCGGCCTCAGACCCCCGGCCTCAGACCGCCGGCCTCAGACCGCCGGCCTCAGACCGCCGGCCTCAGACCCGCCGGCCTCAGACCTCCGGCCTCAGACCCGCCGGCCTCAGACCGCCGGCCTCAGACCTCCGGCCTCAGACCTCCGGCCTCAGACCCGGCCTCAGACCGCCGGCCTCAGACCCGCCGGCCTCAGACCTCCGGCCTCAGACCCGCCGGCCTCAGACCTCCGGCCTCAGACCCGCCGGCCTCAGACCGCCGGCCTCAGACCCGCCGGCCTCAGACCGCCGGCCTCAGACCTCCGGCCTCAGACCCGCCGGCCTCAGACCCGCCGGCCTCAGACCCGCCGGCCTCAGACCCGCCGGCCTCAGACCCGCCGGCCTCAGACCCGCCGGCCTCAGACCCGCCGGCCTCAGACCTCCGGCCTCAGACCTCCGGCCTCAGACCGCCGGCCTCAGACCTCCGGCCTCAGACCGCCGGCCTCAGACCGCCGGCCTCAGACCTCCGGCCTCAGACCCGCCGGCCTCAGACCCGCCGGCCTCAGACCCGCCGGCCTCAGACCCGCCGGCCTCAGACCCGCCGGCCTCAGACCCGCCGGCCTCAGACCGCCGGCCTCAGACCTCCGGCCTCAGACCCGCCGGCCTCAGACCTCCAGCCTCAGACCCGCCGGCCTCAGACCTCCGGCCTCAGACCCGCCGGCCTCAGACCCGCCGGCCTCAGACCCGCCGGCCTCAGACCGCCGGCCTCAGACCGCCGGCCTCAGACCTCCGGCCTCAGACCTCCGGCCTCAGACCCGCCGGCCTCAGACCGCCGGCCTCAGACCCCGCCGGCCTCAGACCCGCCGGCCTCAGACCGCCGGCCTCAGACCCGCCGGCCTCAGACCTCCGGCCTCAGACCGCCGGCCTCAGACCGCCGGCCTCAGACCGCCGGCCTCAGACCCGCCGGCCTCAGACCCGCCGGCCTCAGACCCGCCGGCCTCAGACCCGCCGGCCTCAGACCCGCCGGCCTCAGACCCGCCGGCCTCAGACCCGCCGGCCTCAGACCCGCCGGCCTCAGACCTCCGGCCTCAGACCGCCGGCCTCAGGCCTCAGACCGCCGGCCTCAGACCGCCGGCCTCAGACCTCCGGCCTCAGACCCGCCGGCCTCAGACCCGCCGGCCTCAGACCCGCCGGCCTCAGACCCGCCGGCCTCAGACCCGCCGGCCTCAGACCCGCCGGCCTCAGACCGCCGGCCTCAGACCTCCGGCCTCAGACCCGCCGGCCTCAGACCTCCCAGACCCGCCGGCCTCAGACCCGCCGGCCTCAGACCCGCCGGCCTCAGACCGCCGGCCTCAGACCGCCGGCCTCAGACCTCCGGCCTCAGACCGCCGGCCTCAGACCCGCCGGCCTCAGACCGCCGGCCTCAGACCGCCGGCCTCAGACCCGCCGGCCTCAGACCTCCGGCCTCAGACCCGCCGGCCTCAGACCCGGCCTCGACCGCCGGCCTCAGACCGCCGGCCTCAGACCGCCGGCCTCAGACCGCCGGCCTCAGACCGCCGGCCTCAGACCCGCCGGCCTCAGACCGCCGGCCTCAGACCCGCCGGCCTCAGACCCGCCGGCCTCAGACCCGCCGGCCTCAGACCGCCGGCCTCAGACCGCCGGCCTCAGAGATTAGAAAAGAAAAGACGGATTAAACGGTCACAGTGCAGTTCTACAGTTCTGCTAAACGTGGACAGATCTGAGCTCTGTTAAAGTGTTGGGTTCATTTAAAGACAGTTTTTTCAGATAAACGTCGATGAATCCTCCAAACACTAAATGTGACTCGCAGGGTCTCACAAAGTTTCAGTCAGGACTTTAAAGACCCTTTTGAAAAGTCCCACAGTGAGGACCTGTGTGTGTTGCAGCAGCAGGAATGAGCAGCACACAATAAAAGTATTAACAATAGCACAACACAGTTAGGGTTAAAGCAACCTGACTCTTTCTGTTCAGACAAATAAAAAAGTGGAGGACTGGTCCTGACTCTGGGACCAGCAGGAGTCAGGGCTGAACATGAGGAGGCAGTGTTTCAGATCCATGCAGCTTCAATCTGGAATAGTCTTCTTGAGAATGTGAGACAGGCTTCTACTCAAAAACTCTACAATCTTCACTCAATGAATTTTTAACAATGAATAATTCTTTTGATATGTCCTATGATATATGTCTATAATCCTGTTAGATCTAAGTGCTGCCTTTGACACTGTCGACCATGAGATCCTCTTACAGAGACTAGAGGACTGGGTTGGCGTCGCTGGCACCGCCCTAAGTTGGTTTAGGTCTTACCTTGAAGACAGGAAGTACTTTGTGGAGATTGGAAACTGTGTCTCAGATCATATGGCCCTGACCTGTGGAGTACCACAGGGGTCGATCCTGGGACCTCTTCTGTTCAATCTCTACATGCTGCCGTTAGGTCAGTTAATACGCAGAAACAAAGTGTCCTATCATAACTATGCAGACGACACTCAGATCTATGTCTCACTGACTGCAGGAGAACATGGAAGGAGTGAGTCCACTCCTTCACTGTATCCAACAGATCAGTGAGTGGATGCAAAACAACTTCCTTCAGCTAAACGCAGACAAAACTGAAATGATTGTCTTTGGTCCAGAAACAAAGAGAGAGCGTCATCTGTCATCTACAGTCTCTCTCCCTAAAACCTTCAAACAAGGTCAGAAATCTAGGGGTAATACTGGACTCAGACTTAAATTTTAATAGCCACATCAAATCAGTAACATCAGCAGCTTTTTACCATCTAAAAAACATTGCCAGGATCAAAAACATAGTGTCTAAAGCAGACTTGGAGATTCTTATCCATGCATTTGTCTCCAGTAGGTTAGACTACTGCAATGGCCTGCTCACAGGTCTGTCCAAACAGGCTGTAAAACAGCTGCAGTACATTCAAAATGCAGCAGCTCCAGTCCTGACTAGAACCAGGAAGTACGACCACATTAGTCCTGACTAGAACCAGGAAGTACGACCACATTAGTCCTGACTAGAACCAGGAAGTACGACCACATTAGTCCTGACTAGAACCAGGAAGTACGACCTCATTAGTCCTGACTAGAACCAGGAAGTACGACCACATTAGTCCTGACTAGAACCAGGAAGTACGACCACATTAGTCCTGACTAGAACCAGGAAGTACGACCACATTAGTCCTGACTAGAACCAGGAAGTACGACCACATTAGTCCTGACTAGAACCAGGAAGTACGACCACATTAGTCCTGACTAGAACCAGGAAGTACGACCACATTAGTCCTGACTAGAACCCGGAAGTACGACCACATTAGTCCTGACTAGAACCAGGAAGTACGACCACATTAGTCCTGACTAGAACCAGGAAGTACGACCACATTAGTCCTGACTAGAACCAGGAAGTACGACCACATTAGTCCTGACTAGAACCAGGAAGTACGACCACATTAGTCCTGACTAGAACCAGGAAGTACGACCACATTAGTCCGGTCCTCAGGTCTCTGCACTCAGAGAATAGACTTTAAAACAGCTCTGCTTGTTACAAGTCTCTCCATGGCCTCGCACCTGTTAGTCCCATATGAACCAGCCCGGACTCTGAGGAGCACAGGGACTGGACTCCTGCTGGGACTCTGAGGAGCACAGGGACTGGACTCCTGCTGGGACTCTGAGGAGCACCGGGACTGGACTCCTGCTGGGACTCTGAGGAGCACAGGGACTGGACTCCTGCTGGGACTCTGAGGAGCACAGGGACTGGACTCCTGCTGGGACTCTGAGGAGCACAGGGACTGGACTCCTGCTGGGACTCTGAGGAGCACAGGGACTGGACTCCTGCTGGGACTCTGAGGAGCACAGGGACTGGACTCCTGCTGGGACTCTGAGGAGCACAGGGACTGGACTCCTGTTAGTGCCCAGAGTGAGAACTAAACATGGGGAGGCTGCGTTTCAGATTCATGCAGCTAAGATCTGGAACAATCTCCCTGAAAATGTGAGACAGGCGTCTGCTCTGTCAATGTTCAAATCCAGGTTAAAGACTGTTCTGTTTGCCTGTGCTACAACTGAAGGATTTTATCTCCATTTCTAATGCACTGTCAAGGAACATTTCTAAACTTAGGAATATGGTCGCACGTAATGACTTAGAGCTTATCATTCATGCATTTGTGTCTTCACGCTTAGACTATTGTAATAGTTTGTTTTCATGTCTAAATAAGAAGGAGCTCTCTCGACTGCAACTAGTGCAAAACTCTGCAGCGAGAATTCTGACCCGCACTAACAGGAGGACCCACATATCTCCTATCTTAAAACAACTTCATTGGCTGCCAGTGTCCTATAGGATCACGTTTAAAATGTTGGTTCTAGCTTTCAGAGCCTTGCGTGGTCCAGCTCCTTCTTACCTCAGTTTTCTGATCCAGCCTCACACCCCTGCTCGGGCTCTGAGGTCTGTGGATCAAACTCTGCTAAAGGTTCCACTTGTTTTGGTACAAGAGGTGATCCTTCCAGGCTGTTGCTCCCAGGCTTTGGAACCATCTTCCGCCCTCTTTATGCTCTACTGACTCGGTTGATACTTTTAAAAGCAATCTTAAGACTCATTTATTTGTTCAAGCCTTTATTAGCTATTTTTGGGCTGATACGATTTCTGTGTTGTTTTGACCCTTTTTATATTGTATTTAATTTTGTGATGTTTTACTGTGTTGTGAAGCACTTTGTGGCCTTTGTCTGTGAAAGGTGCTATACAAATAAAGATTACTTACTTACTTACTGTTGTCATTTATTATTTTTTTAAATTCCTTGTGTAATTTTGGAAGTTTTAATGGTTTTAATCTTGTGTGATTTTAATGTTTTAATTGTGATTCTGGTGTTTGTTTTATGTGATGATTTGTGTGGACTGTGAAGCGCTTTGTGTTGCCCTGTGTATGAAAGAGCTCTACAAATAAACTTTGATTGATTGATTATTTATTATTAAAATACTCTCTCTATTCTTGTTTTGTTGAGTACTTTGCCCCATGTGTATGAACTGCTCTTTACAAACTTGCCGTGTCTAAAGTGCTTGTGCGTTGCAAAAGAAGAAAGTACACTGCCCATAAATACAAAGTGCTTCTGCGGTTAGAAAAAAACGGTCAAACTGAGACAGGCCCTTTAAGCCTTGGGGCCATGAGATCACATCAGCTCAGTCTCTCTCTCTCGGCCACACTTCCATCAGCTCAGTCTCTCTCTCGGCCACACTTCCATCAGCTCAGTCTCTCTCTCGGCCACACTTCCATCAGCTCAGTCTCTCTCTCTCGGCCACACTTCCATCAGCTCAGTCTCTCTCTCTCTCGGCCACACTTCCATCAGCTCAGTCTCTCTCTCTCTCGGCCACACTTCCATCAGCTCAGTCTCTCTCTCTCTCGGCCACACTTCCATCAGCTCAGTCTCTCTCTCAGCCACACTTCCATCAGCTCAGTCTCTCTCTCGCCCACCCTCAGCTCTCTCCCCCCTTAGGCCACACTTCCATCAGACGCAGGAGTCCGCTGCAGCTTAGCCCCAGATTCTCCACATTCCTGCGGGTCCCAGGCACAAGCTGCGCCGCTCGTCCGTCCAACATGGCCGCCGTTACTCTCCTCCAATGGGGCACTATACTCTCACTGACCCATGGCCCCGCGGTGACCTGCAGGAGCCACTCTGCACCGGAGCTAAGCCTCATGGGAAAAAAAAGAGCCAGTTTTGGAGTTAGGCTCCACAGGCAATCAACGCCTTAAGGTGAAGGAGGGACGCCCGGGTCAGCGGCGCCCGGGTCCCTCTGATCTCTGCGCCGCTTTGTTCCCAAGCAGCGGAGCGCGACGATCTGCAAAAACAAGAAGCTCCGACACGTCACAAAGGTGCTGCACGCTTTGCGCGGCAGTGAAACATGCGTGGGATTAAAGCCGGGGTACCTGACTTTCAAAACACAAAAACATCCAACGGATAAAGTCGCTCTCAAAACAATCATAAGTTTTCACAGTAAATCAAAAAGATTCAATTCACTTCAATCCATTTCTGTATCACAGCCGTTATCTCAGAGGACTTTAGAAAGTTGTCGATTTGCCAACACAGATCAGAGAATCCAACAGTTCAACCACAGGAAAAGCAACGATTAAAACATGGTCCATCAGACGTGGGGCCAATGTCCAGAAATGTTCATGAATGTGTTACATGTGTCGAGGATCATCCGACTCTAAAACCCAGGGCCTGAAAAAGAGAACCTGGAGGAGGCCCAGAGGGAGATGAGAACCTTCCGTCGTATGAACAGCTCAACAGAACAGAGTAGAGGCCTGTCTCACATTTTCAAGAAGACTGATCCAGATTCTATCGGCGTAAACATCCCCATGTTTACTCCTGACTCTGCCCCAGCAGGAGCCCTTTGGTTTGGCCCTAGTTTCTCAGTCATCAGCCCAAAGCAGAGCTCACAGGGCTCTTTTGTACCTGTGCACAGAAGATGTTTTTCTAATAAGAGGAATTTGCTCACAACTTTGTACTTTTACAGGACTCTATCTGTTGAGAAGCTTCCATTTATCAAACAGCAGAGTCAGGTACCCCAGCTTTAAGTTAACTAATATAATGTGAGATTTGTGAACTGTGAATTCAAAGACAGTGGAATAAAAAGTACAGACGACAGTTTACAGCAGACCTCCGTGACTTAACACTTTTCCCCATATTTCTTTTTGAGTTGTTCCTTTCAATGTGAGGACAGTGATGATCCAGGACATGAAGGACATTAATGTCTTTTATGGACATTAATGCCTTTTATGGACATTAATGTCTTTTATGGACATTAATGTCTTTTATGGACATTAATGTCTTTTATGGACATTAATGCCTTTTATGGACATTAATGTCTTTTATGGACATTAATGTCTTTTATGGACATTAATGTTTTTTATGGACATTAATGTCTTTTATGGACATTAATGTCTTTTATGGACATTAATGTCTTTTATGGACAGTGGTCGTCCCTTTGGACCAACAGACACATTCTCTGATTCTCTGAGTTGCCAGAGCTTTTGTGATTTAAGGCTAAACAAAAATAGATTGAAATGACTATAATGTGACATCTCTCTGTAATCATTGTTAAATAGAATATATGTATATTGTGTTTTATCACATGCTATGATCCCAGAAAGGGCACAGCTCTGTCTCTGTTCGGCACACGTCAACAGTCGGATGTGTCGCCGTTTGTTCCATAAATGCTGTGATACTGTGGTGTTTTCTTCAGTATATCTTTAAACTAAACTGTAAATTCAAAGCCAGTGCAGAATGCTGAGGTGGCAGTTTACCTGGAACAGTCTTACTCGGTGTAGCCGTGTCAGACTAACATGTAATGTTAGGCCCTAACACGCGTGTAAACTCTCAGCATCTGCCACGGCGTCTGTAGAAGTCGTAAGTTTAGAGCTTCAGATAATCAGAACATCTGAAGCTCCAGAAACAGTGTGTTTTATGAAATAGTGAAGAACCTCAGCTTTAGAACCCTCCTCCACGACACGCACATGTCTGTGCAGATACACACGTGTGTATTCTCATGCTTATACTGTGGACCTCTGTTCTGTTTTACTGCTAAAAGATACACTAAGATTATTGATCTCATGAATGAAAGTTTATTTGAACATGGAATAAAAACAACAAAATAAGAACAAAAAACCAAAGTCAACGACAAGACTGAACACTTGTTCTTGTTTAAAGTGGTGTTCATTGACCGCAGAGTATTGGAGGGGGGGGGGGGGGGGTCTGTGGGGGTGAGGGGGCTGTGGGGAAGAAGGGGGGTGCATCAGAGCCAGAGCTGCAGTGATTGACTTTGAAGCTCTTTACCGTTCGGGAAACTTTAGCCCGAGCTGAACGTGGCGTGTGAGTCTGAGAGGAAATGCAGCCTGACACTAACAGCCCAGGAGGAAGTGTTGATGGACTGCATTAAACAAAGGGGAAAAGAGGGCTTTGTATGAGGGGGTGGGGGGGGGTCCCGGGACATGAGGAGGGAGGGGTCCCAGGACATGAGGAGGGAGAGGGGGGTGTGGGGGGGTCCCAGGACATGAGGAGGGAGGGGGGGTGGGGGGGCACGGCATTCACAGAGAAGGAAAAGCCACACACACGTATGAGCCTCCTCAGTAGAAATAACATTTGGACAAACTGATGATTATGAACACATGATGAACACATGATGAACACATGATGAACACGTGATGGACATGTGATGAACACGTGATGAACACGTGATGGACACGTGATGGACACGTGATGAACACGTGATGAACACGTGATGGACACGTGATGAACATGTGATGAACACGTGATGGACACGTGATGAACACGTGATGAACATGTGATGAACACATGATGAACACCTGATGAACACATGATGAACACGTGATGGACATGTGATGAACACGTGATGAACACGTGATGGACACGTGATGGACACGTGATGAACACGTGATGAACACGTGATGGACACGTGATGAACATGTGATGAACACGTGATGGACACGTGATGAACACTTGATGAACATGTGATGAACACATGATGAACACCTGATGAACACGTGATGGACACGTGATAAACACGTGATGAACACGTGATGAACACGTGATGGACACGTGATGAACACGTGATGAACACGTGATGGACACGTGATGGACACGTGATGGACACGTGATGGTGATGGACACGTGATGAACATGTGATGAACACGTGATGGACACGTGATGGACACGTGATGGACACGTGATGAACACGTGATGGACACGTGATGGACACGTTATGAACACATGATGAACACATGATGAACACATGATGGACACATGATGAACACATGATGAACACATGATGGACACATGATGGACACATGATGGACACATGATGAACACGTGATGGACACGTGATGGACACATGATGAACACGTGATGGAGCTGAATGTCTCTTCTAAATAAATAAAACGGTTTATTTGTTCCAACAGAAGGAGACTTGTCTTTATCCGATTAGAACACGTTTTTAAGTCACTATTTGACGCTTTGGGTTGAGCTGAGGCTGAGTAGGTTTCCTCTGGGTGCTCCGGTTTTCCCTACATGTGCAATAGCTCCCCTCTCTCTGGGGCCTCTCCTGCAAAAGAGATTCTGGAATTGATTAAACAAATAACAATATTAATTAAATCTAGAAAGACTCGAGACAAACATTGCATTAGATTATATTTATTGTCAATACTGCATGAATGGACGGATAAACCCAGCAAACGCATGGATTGGGTTCTACTGTATTAGACAGATGGACCGCTGCAGAAATACTGCAGGGCGTATGCAGGAGGGAGTTTATTATTAATGATGAGCTTGTGACCCCCCAGGGCCTAGACCCTGGTCAGGTGGAAGAAGCCGAACACAGAACATGAGCACTGGATCTCCTCAGGGATGTATTTTGAGTCCTTTACTTTTTACACTGTACACTCATGATTGTGTGTCTTCCTCAGACTCTAACCTGATCATCAAATATGCTGATGACACCACCATCATCGGTCTCATCAGTAATAACGATGAATCCTCTTATAGAGCCGAGATCCAAAATGTGGTTCAGTGGAGTAAGGCTAACAACCTCCAGCTGAACGCATCCAAAACATGCGAACTGGTCTTTGATTTCAGTCGCAACAGTTCTCATTTGCCTGTCGCAATCGATAACTCCCAAGTGCAGATTGTAGAGGAGTGTAAGTTTCTGGGTCTAACTCTGTCTGATGACCTGAAATGGGTTAAAAACACTGACCGAGTCGTTAAGAAAGCTCGTCAGCGTCTCTACTTTCTGCGGAAACTTAGAGAATTTACCACTAACTCTAAGATTCTGCTGAACTTTTATCGCTGCACCATTGAGAGTTTACTTGTTGGTTCTGTGTCTGTGTGGTTCGGTAACATCACAGATAAAGAAAAGAGAGCTTTAAACAAGGTGCTCCGCTCTGCAAAGAGGACCGTGGGCTGTGAACTTCCTGTTCTGGAGGTTCTTTATCAATCCAGACTTTTTAACAGTGCCCTGATAATTATCAGAGACTCTTCTGGCCACCCAGGAAAAGCCTTGTTCCAGCTTCTTCCCTCTGGCAGAAGATACTGTTCTCTGAGATGCAGGACATCTCGTCATGCTAACAGTTTTTTTCCACGAGCTGTTAACAGTTTGAATAGAGCACTTTAATGTTTTGCACTCGTATAGATCTGTTTTAAGTTGGTCAACTTCCACGGTGACATTTGTTGTGACATTTGTTTACTGTTTTTAAAATTTGTTTTATTTTTGTCTTTTAATGTTGTTTTGTGTCTGTACTTGTCTTGTGCACACGGGGAACTTTTACAAATGCATTCCAATGTGGTGTATACATACTGCAAATGGCGAAATAAATGAATCTGAATCTGAATCTGCACTGAAGAGGTGGTGACGGGGAGGAGGTGGGTTGCTGCTCGGACAGCTGCTGGATTCTGCAGAGAACTGAGAGGCTCTGTTTAAATACAGACATACAATGATAAGCACAGGTGTGTTACGGAGCAGCTGAGACTGATCCATGTTCAGGTGAGTCCGTGTGACCGCATGTGTCTCTTTGGTCTTCCAGTCTGAATTTACACCTTCATATTATTTAAAGAACATTATTTGAAGTCAAGTCAAGTAAATGCATGTGTGTCAAAACTACTGTTGTGTCCCAGAATCATCATGTAATGTCAGATGATGCAGTGATGAACTTAAATCATGCCATTCACTTTGATCATTTTGGATGGCTACATGAACTCAGAACCTTACATGTTTATACAGCTACTTCCGTAAATATTAATGTATACATTCACTTATTTTAATGACACTTGTAAAAAGGGCTAAATAATCCCTTTACAGAAGTCTTTCTGCTCTGAAACACTGTGCATAAACGTGCATGTGACTGTTATAAAACATAAATCATTCAATAAATCTGTGCAGGACGATGAGATGCAAACCCTCCTCTTCAGCTCCAGTTTAATCAGGTCGTCTCTCTGTGACATGTCTTTAAGCAGACATATCCTACTGTGAGGGATGTGAACACATGACAAAACACAGCTACTATAAGTGCCTTTCCCTGTGGCCTCTCGTACGCAGCGTCTGTCTCAGAGCTGTCAGAACCGTCTGTCGTCTTCGTGCCTTTGATCCTGGAGCTCACTGCAGCGTTCACACTTTTAACTCAGCGTTTGTGTTTGTGGAACTGTTTCCACTTCAGCCCACGCTCACTCTGATGCTAATGCTAATGCTAATGCTAACGCTAATGCTAATGCTGATGCTGATGCAGTGAAACCTCAGAATGACGCCTCTGCTGTGCCCTCGCTCTGACCGGGACCATGGCTTCACACGGGACACTGCTCAAAGACTTTAGAGCAACTGTCCCTGCTGCTGTCACCTCCGTGAACACATACTGCTGTTATATAAAGTCACCTCCGTGAACACATACTGCTGTTATATAAAGTCACCTCCGTGAACACATACTACTGTTATATAAAGTCACCTCCGTGAACACATACTGCTGTTATATAAAGTCACCTCCGTGAACACATACTGCTGTTATATAAAGTCACCTCCGTGAACACATACTGCTGTTATATAAAGTCACCGTGAACACATACTGCTGTTATATAAAGTCACCGTGAACACATACTACTGTTATATAAAGTCACCTCCGTGAACACATACTGCTGTTATATAAAGTCACCTCCGTGAACACATACTGCTGTTATATAAAGTCACCGTGAACACATACTGCTGTTATATAAAGTCACCGTGAACACATACTGCTGTTATATAAAGTCACCGTGAACACATACTGCTGTTATATAAAGTCACCGTGAACACATACTGCTGTTATATAAAGTCACCGTGAACACATACTGCTGTTATATAAAGTCACCGTGAACACATACTGCTGTTATATAAAGTCACCTCCGTGAACACATACTGCTGTTATATAAAGCCCCACAGCCCCGCTACAGCCCCCCTGTATTCCCAGAATGCACTGCTGCTGCTAATGGCCGCCGTACGTCCCCTGTCAGGCCCCTTTTGATGTGAGCGTCCCGTGATGATCTTTGCGCAGTAAAACCTTGGAGCAGGCACTTTTAATGACCCGAGGGGGGTGAGCTCGGCCCGTGTGGCTCGGCCCGTATGGTTCCTATTTGTACCTCGCAGACGGACTGAAACCGACCCGCGCCGCCCTGTCACATGACACCAAAGAGAGAGAGTCATTATCATTTTGTGAGCGACATTTTCTGTTTTTAGTTTGCCTTTTTCCCTTTGAGTGTCTCAGTGCAGCGCTGGCTTCAGCTTATTCAAACCGTATGGGTCAGAACCGGTGCATGGAGGTCCACGCAGCCAAGGGAGGAATATTAGATCTTGTTGGTGATTTATTGAGATAAAAATGTGCTTTGTTCTAAACAGAGGTTTGTTCCTCGTGAGCCTCTGGGGCCACCGTAGTCAGTGAGGCAGCGTTTGAACCAAGCACAATCTATTATCTTTACACTTTTATACTTTCAACACCGCTGTAGCTTTGTTCTTAAAGCTCCCATTGTGTCCCATTGTCTGTTTCATGGTACGATGACGGGACCTCTGGACCTGGCATCCTCCATCTACACCTGCGAACATGACATTTATCACATGTGTGACATTTATCAACATGTGTGACATTTATCAACATGTGTGACATTTATCAACATGTGTGACATTTATCACATGTGTGACATTTATCACATGTATGACATTTATCAACATGTGTGACATTTATCAACATTTATGACATTTATCAACATGTGTGACATTTATCACATGTGTGACATTTATCACATGTATGACATTTATCACATGTGTGACATTTATCACATGTGTGACATTTATCACATGTATGACATTTATCACATGTATGACATTTATCACATGTATGACATTTATCAACATGTATGACATTTATCAACATGTATGACATTTATCAACATGTATGACATTTATCACATGTGTGACATTTATCAACATGTATGACATTTATCACATGTGTGACATTTATCAACATGTATGACATTTATCACATGTGTGACATTTATCACATGTATGACATTTATCACATGTATGACATTTATCAACATGTATGACATTTATCAACATGTGTGACATTTATCAACATGTATGACATTTATCACATGTGTGACATTTATCAACATGTATGACATTTATCACATGTGTGACATTTATCACATGTGTGACATTTATCACATGTGTGACATTTATCAACATGTGTGACATTTATCACATGTGTGACATTTATCACATGTGTGACATTTATCACATGTGTGACATTTATCAACAAGTGTGACATTTATCACATGTGTGACATTTATCACATGTGTGACATTTATCACATGTGTGACATTTATCACATGTGTGACATTTATCACATGTATGACATTTATCAACATGTGTGACATTTATCAACATGTATGACATTTATCACATGTGTGACATTTATCAACATGTATGACATTTATCACATGTGTGACATTTATCAACATGTGTGACATTTATCACATGTATGACATTTATTACATGTGTGACATTTATCACATGTATGACATTTATCAAAATGTGTGACATTTATCAACATGTATGACATTTATCACATGTGTGACATTTATCACATGTGTGACATTTATCAACATGTATGACATTTATCACATGTATGACATTTATCAACATGTATGACATTTATCACATGTATGACATTTATCAACATGTATGACATTTATCACATGTATGATATTTATCAACATGTATGACATTTATCACATGTATGACATTTATCAACATGTGTTCTATATTCTTTCTGTGTTTTAACTGGTTTCAATGGTTTTGTTAAGTCTGAGATGATGCTGCTGTGATTTAGGGAAATACAAGAATAACTTGTATTGTAAAGTTTGGGTAAAACTTTAAAACCAGAATAAATGACTAAACAATCAAATGAAACTCTCAAAACACATTGTTCTCATGTGTGTAGTTTTTAGTCCAGCTTCACTCAGCCAATCAGCTCTCAGCCCTGTGCTCCTCAGAGTCCCAGCAGGAGGCCAGTCCCTGTGCTCCTCAGAGTCCCAGCAGGAGGCCAGTCCCTGTGCTCCTCAGAGTCCCAGCAGGAGGCCAGTCCCTGTGCTCCTCAGAGTCCCAGCAGGAGACCAGTCCCTGTGCTCCTCAGAGTCCCAGCAGGAGGCCAGTCCCTGTGCTCCTCAGAGTCCCAGCAGGAGTCCAGTCCCTGTGCTCCTCAGAGTCCCAGCAGGAGTCCAGTCCCTGTGCTCCTCAGAGTCCCAGCAGGAGGCCAGTCCCTGTGCTCCTCAGAGTCCCAGCAGGAGGCCAGTCCCTGTGCTCCTCAAAGTACACGTTGGTTCATATGGCACCAACATGTCACAAATGTAAATAAAAAAACAGATCATGTTTAAAGGCCAAATGATAATTTATTGTAAAAAGCTTCACACATCTTTGCAAAACCTGCACAAACATTGCCAACAGTGTTTGGCTTTTTAGGCCTGACTGAAACATGTGTTTATGCTCTGGACACATGTACCACCAGTAACACCACCATAATGTGAAAAAGCACATCTGCAAATTCACTTTCGCGATATATATCATCCACGATATATATCATCCACGATATATATCATCCACGATATATATCATCCACGATATATATCATCCACGATATATATCATCCACGATATATATCATCCACGATATATATCATCCACGATATATATCATCCACGATATATATCATCCACGATATATATCGCCCACTCACTCCTAGTTTTGACACCCACAGACTTGTGTCTGCTGTCCTGACCAAGCCCCAGTGATCCAAGATGGCGTCCTGTTCAAATGAATGGCTTGTGCTCAGTAGTTCATGGGACTTCACAGAGACCGGGAGGAGAACTCGCCCATATTTGGGCATCGTCTGGTCCTCCCGGTTCTGTGCAGTGGATTATCTCCCATGATGCGTCGCGCCAAACACGCATGTGTGGCTCTCATGCATGTGCACGGAGGGGCTCGGCCTCGCTCTGACCAATCAGAGCAGTTCATCAGAGCGGAGTCAGAGCGGGAGTTAGAGCGGGAGCCAGGTAAGCAGAGTTTGTGGCAGTAAAGTGTGGATTTAAAGAAAACAGAAGGATTTAAGAAGAAAAAAGTTCAGGACGACAAGGGACACTAAAATCCCCACAAAATCTGATATTTTTGAAAGCTGTAGGTTCTCTGTAGGTTCTCTGTAGGTTCTCTGTCAGGTTCTCTGTCAGGTTCTCTGTCAGGTTCTCTGTCAGGTTCTCTGTAGGTTCTCTGTCAGGTTCTCTGTCAGGTTCTCTGTCAGGTTCTCTGACAGGTTCTCTGTCAGCTGAGGTCGAGCTGTTTTAGTTTACATTGAGTTCTATGGGACTTTTTTCTGGGTAGCCCTCATGAATTCAGTCTGCAGTACCACAGCGCCCCCTGTGGCCTAGGGCGGGACAGCTGTAAGCTAGTAATACTCTGTCCAGTTATTATTATACTGTAGATCCATGGTCCTGACACATAAACATATCAATCAGTGATATCCTGATGCATAAACATAATAATCATTAAATCATCATTTCAATCACACAAACACAGCAGGAGGAGCTTTGGTCCACATCAGCATCAGCGTCAGTAGAACCTCGGAGCAGCAGAACCTCAGAGCAGCAGAACCTCAGAGCAGCAGAACCTCAGAGCAGCAGAACCTCAGAGCAGCAGAACCTCAGTGCAGCAGAACCTCAGTGCAGCAGAACCTCAGAGCAGCAGAACCTCAGAGCAGCAGAACCTCAGAGAAGCAGAACCTCAGTGCAGCAGAACCTCAGTGCAGCAGAACCTCAGAGCAGCAGAACCTCAGAGCAGCAGAACCTCAGTGCAGCAGAACCTCAGTGCAGCAGAACCTCAGAGCAGCAGAACCTCAGTGCAGCAGAACCTCAGAGCAGCAGAACCTCAGAGCAGCAGAACCTCAGTGCAGCAGAACCTCAGTGCAGCAGAACCTCAGAGCAGCAGAACCTCAGAGCAGCAGAACCTCAGAGCAGCAGAACCTCAGTGCAGCAGAACCTCAGAGCAGCAGAACCTCAGTGCAGCAGAACCTCAGAGCAGCAGAACCTCAGAGAAGCAGAACCTCAGAGCAGCAGAACCTCAGAGCAGCAGAACCTCAGTGCAGCAGAACCTCAGAGCAGCAGAACCTCAGAGAAGCAGAACCTCAGAGCAGCAGAACCTCAGAGCAGCAGAGCCTCAGTGAAGCAGAACCTCAGAGCAGCAGAACCTCAGTGAAGCAGAACCTCAGTGCAGCAGAACCTCGGAGCAGCAGAACCTCGGAGCAGCAGAACCTCAGAGAAGCAGAACCTCAGTGCAGCAGAACCTCAGAGCAGCAGAACCTCAGAGCAGCAGAACCTCAGAGCAGCAGAAACTCAGAGAAGCAGAACCTCATAGCAGCAGAACCTCAGTGAAGCAGAACCTCAGAGCAGCAGAACCTCAGAGCAGCAGAACCTCCCGCTCAAACGATCTCCACATAACGACTGTTTACATGACTCGCGTGAGCTACATTCTCTGTTTCCAGTTTAGGACCCCCCCCTTTAAGTACGGCTGGACATAAAATGACATGTCAAGTGCACACGCTACAGTCCGTATCTGAGCCCAAACCAGGTCCAGGTGCCGCGGCCTGTGGGAGATCAGAACCATGTGGGAGATCAGAACCATGTGTGAGCCGTGTCCTCATCGCTCACATCCCCGTGTGACGGTAAAAGAACGGTTAAAAAAGGGGAAAACCGACTGAAAAGTGACTCTGGCTCAGTGCGGTTTGTTGTGTTGCCAGCGGTGATGGATGGGTCTCTGAGGCTGCAGCCGGTCTCGTTCTGGTCTCTGAGGCTGCAGCCGGTCTCGTTCTGGTCTTTGAGGCTGCAGCCGGTCTCGTTCTGGTCTTTGAGGCTGCAGCCGGTCTCGTTCTGGTCTCTGAGGCTGCAGCCGGTCTCGTTCTGGTCTTTGAGGCTGCAGCCGGTCTCGTTCTGGTCTTTGAGGCTGCAGCCGGTCTCGTTCTGGTCTCTGAGGCTGCAGCCGGTCTCGTTCTGGTCTTTGAGGCTGCAGCCGGTCTCGTTCTGGTCTTTGAGGCTGCAGCCGGTCTCGTTCTGGTCTTTGAGGCTGCAGCCGGTCTCGTTCTGGTCAGTGTGGGCCGGGACTGCTCTAATGTAGCACCAGGCTACATTATACAGGCCATTATTATCACTGTAATGACACGTGGAATTATACAGTATTTAAACAATCCTAGACGCTGTTTTAGTCGGTCTGTGTTCGTCTTCATCACACATTCATCACACTCTTCATCACACTATTCATCACACTCTTCATCACACATTCATCACACTCTTCATCACACATTCATCACACTCTTCATCACACATTCATCACACTCTTCATCACACTCTTCATCACACATTCATCACACTCTTCATCACACATTCATCACACTCTTCATCACACTCTTCATCACACTCTTCATCACACTCTTCATCACACATTCATCACACTCTTCATCACACACATCATCACACTCTTCATCACACATTCATCACACTCTTCATCACACTCTTCATCACACATTCATCACACTCTTCATCACACATTCATCACACTCTTCATCACACTCATCATCACACTCTTCATCACACTCTTCATCACACATTCATCACACTCTTCATCACACTCTTCATCACACTCTTCATCACACATTCATCACACTCTTCATCACACTCTTCATCACACATTCATCACACTCTTCATCACACTCTTCATCACACATTCATCACACTCTTCATCACACTCATCATCACACTCTTCATCACACTCTTCATCACACATTCATCACACTCTTCATCACACTCTTCATCACACTCTTCATCACACATTCATCACACTCTTCATCACACATTCATCACACTCTTCATCACACATTCATCACACTCTTCATCACACTCTTCATCACACTCTTCATCACACTCTTCATCACACATTCATCACACTCTTCATCACACTCTTCCATCACACTCTTCATCACACATTCATCACACTCTTCATCACACTCTTCATCACACATTCATCACACTCTTCATCACACTCTTCATCACACATTCATCACACTCTTCATCACACTCTTCATCACACTCTTCATCACACATTCATCACACTCTTCATCACACATTGATCACACTCTTCATCACACTCTTCATCACACTCTTCATCACACATTCATCACACTCTTCATCACACATTCATCACACTCTTCATCACACTCTTCATCACACATTCATCACACTCTTCATCACACTCTTCATCACACTCTTCATCACACATTCATCACACTCTTCATCACACACATCATCACACTCTTCATCACACATTCATCACACTCTTCATCACACTCTTCATCACACATTCATCACACTCTTCATCACACATTCATCACACTCTTCATCACACTCATCATCACACTCTTCATCACACTCTTCATCACACATTCATCACACTCTTCATCACACTCTTCATCACACTCTTCATCACACATTCATCACACTCTTCATCACACTCTTCATCACACATTCATCACACTCTTCATCACACTCTTCATCACACATTCATCACACTCTTCATCACACTCATCATCACACTCTTCATCACACTCTTCATCACACATTCATCACACTCTTCATCACACTCTTCATCACACTCTTCATCACACATTCATCACACTCTTCATCACACATTCATCACACTCTTCATCACACATTCATCACACTCTTCATCACACTCTTCATCACACTCTTCATCACACTCTTCATCACACATTCATCACACTCTTCATCACACTCTTCATCACACTCTTCATCACACATTCATCACACTCTTCATCACACTCTTCATCACACATTCATCACACTCTTCATCACACTCTTCATCACACATTCATCACACTCTTCATCACACTCTTCATCACACTCTTCATCACACATTCATCACACTCTTCATCACACATTGATCACACTCTTCATCACACTCTTCATCACACTCTTCATCACACATTGATCACACTCTTCATCACACTCTTCATCACACATTGATCACACTCTTCATCACACTCTTCATCACACATTCATCACACTCTTCATCACACTCTTCATCACACATTCATCACACTCTTCATCACACTCTTCATCACACTCTTCATCACACATTCATCACACTCTTCATCACACTCTTCATCACACTCTTCATCACACATTCATCACACTCTTCATCACACATTCATCACACTCTTCATCACACTCATCATCACACTCTTCATCACACTCTTCATCACACATTCATCACACTCTTCATCACACTCTTCATCACACTCTTCATCACACATTCATCACACTCTTCATCACACTCTTCATCACACATTCATCACACTCTTCATCACACTCTTCATCACACATTCATCACACTCTTCATCACACTCATCATCACACTCTTCATCACACTCTTCATCACACATTCATCACACTCTTCATCACACTCTTCATCACACTCTTCATCACACATTCATCACACTCTTCATCACACATTCATCACACTCTTCATCACACATTCATCACACTCTTCATCACACTCTTCATCACACTCTTCATCACACTCTTCATCACACATTCATCACACTCTTCATCACACTCTTCATCACACTCTTCATCACACATTCATCACACTCTTCATCACACTCTTCATCACACATTCATCACACTCTTCATCACACTCTTCATCACACATTCATCACACTCTTCATCACACTCTTCATCACACTCTTCATCACACATTCATCACACTCTTCATCACACATTGATCACACTCTTCATCACACTCTTCATCACACTCTTCATCACACATTGATCACACTCTTCATCACACTCTTCATCACACATTGATCACACTCTTCATCACACTCTTCATCACACATTCATCACACTCTTCATCACACATTCATCACACTCTTCATCACACTCTTCATCACACTCTTCATCACACATTCATCACACTCTTCATCACACTCTTCATCACACTCTTCATCACACATTCATCACACTCTTCATCACACATTCATCACACTCTTCATCACACATTCATCACACTCTTCATCACACTCTTCATCACACATTCATCACACTCTTCATCACACTCTTCATCACACTCTTCATCACACTCTTCATCACACATTCATCACACTCTTCATCACACATTCATCACACTCTTCATCACACATTCATCACACTCTTCATCACACTCTTCATCACACTCTTCATCACACATTCATCACACTCTTCATCACACATTGATCACACTCTTCATCACACTCTTCATCACACTCTTCATCACACTCTTCATCACACTCTTCATCACACATTCATCACATGCTTCATCACACTCTTCATCACACTCTTCATCACACATTCATCACACTCTTCATCACACATTGATCACACTCTTCATCACACTCTTCATCACACTCTTCATCACACTCTTCATCACACATTCATCACACTCTTCATCACACTCTTCATCACACATTGATCACACTCTTCATCACACTCTTCATCACACATTGATCACACTCTTCATCACACTCTTCATCTGTAAAAACAGAACAAAGTGGCTCACAATTTTTCTCGTGCGTGGGTTTGATTCCACCTCCAGACAGGCAGGTGCAGAGTGTGCCTGTTCTCCCTGTGTCTGAGTAGGTTTCCTCCGTGTGCTCCGGTTTTCCCGACCACTAAAAACATGTACAATAGTTCATGAGTGAATGAGTGCGACTGTGGGACCTCAGATGGAAAACTACAATCTGTATTTACAGTCACTAACACTCACTGTCTCATACAAACAGATTAATCCTTTCACATTTACAGCCAATCACAAACTCATGTTGAAGATTGTCACTAGCTGCACCCAGTACACATACCAGCCCCTGATCCTCCTGCTCCTCCTGCTCCTCTCTGATCCTCCTGCTCCTCTCTGCTCCTCCTGATCCTCCTGCTCCTCTCTGATCCTCCTGATCCTCCTGCTCCTCTCTGATCCTCCTGCTCCTCTCTGATCCTCCTGCTCCTCTCTGATCCTCCTGATCCTCCTGCTCCTCTCTGATCCTCCTGCTCCTCTCTGATCCTCCTGCTCCTCCTGGTCCTCTCTGATCCTCCTGCTCCTCTCTGATCCTCCTGCTCCTCCTGCTCCTCTCTGATCCTCCTGCTCCTCTCTGATCCTCCTGCTCCTCCTGGTCCTCTCTGATCCTCCTGCTCCTCTTGGTCCTCTCTGATCCTCCTGCTCCTCTTGGTCCTCTCTGATCCTCCTGCTCCTCCTGGTCCTCTCTGATCCTCCTGCTCCTCCTGGTCCTCTCTGATCCTCCTGGTCCTCCTGGTCCTCTCTGATCCTCCTGCTCCTCCTGCTCCTCTCTGATCCTCCTGCTCCTCCTGGTCCTCTCTGATCCTCCTGCTCCTCCTGGTCCTCTCTGATCCTCCTGCTCCTCCTGGTCCTCCTGCTCCTCTCTGATCCTCCTGCTCCTCCTGCTCCTCCTGCTCCTCCTGCTCCTCTCTGCTCCTCCTGCTCCTCTCTGCTCCTCCTGCTCCTCTCTGCTCCTCCTGCTCCTCCTGCTCCTCTCTGCTCCTCCTCTCTGCTCCTCCTGGTCCTCTCCTCCTCCTGCTCCTCCTGGTCCTCTCTGATCCTCCTGCTCCTCACTGCTCCTCACTGCTCCTCCTGCTCCTCCTGGTCCTCACTGCTCCTCCTGGTCCTCTCTGATCCTCCTGGTCCTCTCTGATCCTCCTGCTCCTCCTGGTCCTCTCTGATCCTCCTGCTCCTCCTGGTCCTCTCTGATCCTTCTGCTCCTCCTGGTCCTCTCTGATCCTCCTGCTCCTCACTGCTCCTCCTGCTCCTCCTGGTCCTCACTGCTCCTCCTGGTCCTCTCTGATCCTCCTGGTCCTCTCTGATCCTCCTGCTCCTCCTGGTCCTCTCTGATCCTCCTGCTCCTCCTGGTCCTCACTGCTCCTCCTGCTCTTCCTGGTCCTCTCTGATCCTCCTGCTCCTCCTGGTCCTCTCTGATCCTCCTGGTCCTCACTGCTCCTCCTGCTCCTCCTGGTCCTCTCTGATCCTCCTGCTCCTCCTGGTCCTCTCTGATCCTCCTGCTCCTTCTGGTCCTCACTGCTCCTCCTGCAGGAGGATGGCTGCTCTATTTAACATATAAAATAGTAAAAATGTGCCAGGGTTAGTCTCAGACATAGCCTGGTCTTACCACATCATAGTACTAATTTCATTTCATACTAAGGTCTGGATTTGATCCATTGACTCTGTGAACAGGTGGGAGGGGCTAACTCATTTTACAGATTGAAACGATCTGAGTTTACTGTGACGTATGTAATGCGCCCAAGTGAGTCGTTAGCATTTAGCATTTAGCCTAGCTTTAGCCATCTCCTGTGCCAGTGATTTTTTCCAGAGATTACATTTGCTAAACATTCCTCTTGCTCCAGCTTCAGTTTCTTGATAGAACCAGAGCAGATTACTTTACTATCGCATTCTTCACCAAACTACGACCTGCTCGTTCGACACAAACTCTTGACGTCGTCCACATCTAATTACAACACCCGCCTCCCGCGCTCTCTGATTGGTCGGATGGAATTCAACAGATTGTAATCGCAAACACAGGGACCAGACCCAGACGTTACATGCGTCAGCCGGTGTAAGCTCCATTCATTTAAACGAGAGACTTCTAAAGCCCACAGCGACTAAACTAGACTGGTCCAGAACCCTCAGCATTGACACACATGTGGAACGGAGCTTTGGGCCAAGAGACACTTTTGGACCATCCTGTAAAGACGTTTTCCAGAGGTCAGCTAATGCTATTTGTTAGCATTGGCTAATTCTTATTCCGGGTCCACCCCCACAGGCCCGGGGTGGTACTGCAGCATGTCAGGGTCCACCCCCACAGGCCCGGGGTGGTACTGCAGCATGTCAGGGTCCACCCCCACAGGCCCGGGGTGGTATTGCAGCATGTCAGGGTCCACCCCCACAGGCCCGGGGTGGTATTGCAGCATGTCAGGGTCCACCCCCACAGGCCCGGGGTGGTATTGCAGCATGTCAGCGCACGTCCTTTTGGCCACGTTTGAGCCTGGACCCGCCCACACTGTGCTGAAACACTGTCCACATGTTTCACATGTTTCCTTATAAACCAAGATGAGGTATCGTGAGCGTGAATATAAAATATGAATCCAGGCGTCTGTCCTTTTACGACACTTGGGCCTGAAGCGAGGAAGAACCCAGAACATGCTGTAAGGATTCAGATCAAAGGCATTTCTTTAGTTCAGAAAAACAATATGCTTCAGATGAGTTCATATCAGAGAGACAGAGGCTTGTGCTTTGGTCGTTGTCATGGGAACGGTTCATTTCAGATTTAGACCCATAAAAACATTACGTTGATTCAATGTTAGTTCAATCAGAATGTTCTGCTTGGTTCAGATTCTGAGAACATTGATTACAAAACAATTACATCAAGTCTGGCCCTAATCTGTCATCATTAAAGGGCCCTAATCTGTCCTTATTAAAGGGCCCTAATCTGGGCCCTAATCTGTTATCATTAAAGGGCCTTAATCTGTCATCATTAAAGGGCCCTAATCTGTCATAATAATAAACTGCTCTTTTCCAATACTTCTTTAACTGATGACAGTAGTTCAGAGATATTCTAAATTACTTTTCCAGCCTCTAAATCTTGTTATTGTTTTCATTTCGATGTCCCGCCCTCCACCGTTTCACCAATCAGAAAGTCTGTGATCCGGGCGCCAGAACTCACCACGTGGAGATAATCTCACTGGTAAAGTACCATGTGGAGCTAATCTCACTGGTAAAGTACCATGTGGCGCAGAACTAAAAAAGGTCTCGTTATGATTCTCAAATCATTAACGACAAAACAAGGAATAAAAGCAGGATTTATATCTTTGTGAAAAAGGTGTTGGTTATAGATTTGTTGTTGACAAAACTCTTGTCTATTCAGCTGTTATGGTCCCAGCTGGATTCGTCTGCATATCTGGCAACCTGAGTCAGGGAGAGTGGGAGAGGCTGCAGTACCACTTTTGGCCACATGTTCACACGCTGCTCCTTTAACAAAAACAGATCAAAAACAACTGGAGAATATCGTGCCTGTTTTAAATACAGAAATAATGAAGCAAAGAAGAAAGGGACAGTAACATGTCGTTTATTGCTGCCTGGATTTCTTAAATCTAGAAGCTGCTGACGTTTATTGTTTGCACCCCGCTCCTACCCACGATGCAGTGCAGGATTTGGCTAACTCCTCTGTGTTGTAATAAGTGGCAGTAAAAGTCCTGGGATCTTGGTTTTCCTTGAAGTTAAAAGCCGCGCACATGTTCACACGATGACATCCAGGGGGCGCCGTAATCACCGCTCACATATTGACTTAAAAACTGAGCCAGAGGTTTTTTCTGATTCAGAGGAACAGACGAGGCAAAGAGGGACTGGACTTCGCACTGACGGAGACGGTGATGTTTACTGCTGCTGTCGAACTAAAGCCTGGGTTCAAATCCTGGTCCAAGTCCTTTTATTACAGTGTTGTGGCCAAAAACACAACATGGCATTCTCTTTTTAAACACGAGACTCCTACATGATAAATCATTCTTTGTTTAAAACGTGGATTAAAGATAATTTCAGTACTTTTTTATCTCATTTCTTTTTTACTTAAAATGCAGTATATCAAGCAGGAAGGATTTGCGGTGGGGTAAAAGAAGAAGAAGAAGAAGAAGAAGATATACTTTATTGATCTCACAATGGAGAAATTCAGTTGGATGAATAGTCATGTACACATATACTCATGTCACATCAAGGCTGTTTCTTCTGCACTACTTATAAACAAAGTGGGTGAAGTGTCTTGCCCAAGGACACAACGACAGCAGTGGGAGTCAGTGGAGAAAGTCTTGCGGTGGGCTTGAACCCACAACCTTCAGACTCAAAGGCCGATGCTCTACAACTGAGCCAGTATCTAAATCTAATCCTAAATAGTTTATTAAAGCTGGGGTACCTAACTTTCAAACCACATTATATATTACAAATGGAACTGGTTCCTCGCTCTTAAAACAGTTTGGTTCTATTCCTAGTTTTTACCATAAATGTATTTGTAGCATCTTTGGATCACTTATTTTTAGACAGAAACGTGAAAAAGAGAGGACCACCCTCTCTCAGCCAATCAGCTCAGCCCAAAGAGTCAAATAGTGACTCACAGGGCTCTTTATATCACAAAATGTTATGTAAGACAAAACAATGAATTTAAGCTTTTGACTTTATCGATCAACATTTATATTTGACGATTAAGAATTGTTTAAATAATGAAAATAATATCACTAAGAGACACATCTGAGTCATTTGTGACATGTTAGTGCCATACACCAACTGGGACTCTGAGGAGCACAGGGACTGGACTCCTGCTGGGACTCTGAGGAGCACAGGGACTGGCCTCCTGCTGGGACTCTGAGGAGCACAGGGACTGGCCTCCTGCTGGGACTCTGAGGAGCACAGGGACTGGCCTCCTGCTGGGACTCTGAGGAGCACAGGGACTGGCCTCCTGCTGGGACTCTGAGGAGCACAGGGACTGGACTCCTGCTGGGACTCTGAGGAGCACAGGGACTGGCCTCCTGCTGGGACTCTGAGGAGCACAGGGACTGGACTCCTGCTGGGACTCTGAGGAGCACAGGGACTGGCCTCCTGCTGGGACTCTGAGGAGCACAGGGACTGGCCTCCTGCTGGGACTCTGAGGAGCACAGGGACTGGACTCCTGCTGGGACTCTGAGGAGCACAGGGACTGGCCTCCTGCTGGGACTCTGAGGAGCACAGGGACTGGCCTCCTGCTGGGACTCTGAGGAGCACAGGGACTGGCTGTGGTGTGATCTTGTTTTTGTTCTGCACATTTTTGGTGTTGCCTTGTGCATGAACTGTGCCTAATAAGCTGGCCTGGCCTGGCCTGGCCTGGCTTTGCCTTGCCTTGTCATATGGAAGAACATCTCTGTGAGAGTGGACTGAAACTTGCTGAATCTAAAAGATGTCTCTGACGTAGAAAACAGTGATTTAAATAGTATTCAGCCGAGTTTACCGATCAGAATGCCAGGAATTCTTCAGCGGAAGGCCATGACTTTCATTTGACTGCTCGCTCCGTGGATTTACACTCCGTCTTTGTTGCGGCCTGTAAATTTCTCCCTCGTCCCACTTTAAATCTGTCCCGTCCGGTCCCCGCCCCTCGCGGCCCTATACTCTGCCTGCATTCCTGCCTATTCAGTCCATCTGCTTTAAAACCCCGCCTCTTTTTTATATCGTGTTATTGTCTCTGTTGCATTCCTCCGGGTTTTGATTGCTGGACACAGTTTAATGTCCGCAGTTACAGGAGACAATGGGGCTACTTGACTTTTGCCCCCGCGCAGGACCGGCCCAGGCCTAATCTTCTGTCCCCAGTCTCCGAAAAGGCCATTGTGCTGGGACCTGGTGGCTCTGGCTCCGCCCACTGCCCACCCACAGTAAGATGGCCGCCCTCTTAACTCTTGTCTGCTGACCCCGCGTTCACCCCGTGTCAACAACTGCAGTCTTTATCTCTCTGGACACACAAACACTGAGTCCCGGCTCCACAAGCGCTGAGACCTCACAGAGAAGCTGAAGAAGCTGAGGAAGGTTTGGTCGTCTTTGTCTAACTGTTCAGAGTTGTGTAACCACCATATCATAAATGGGACTTCAACTTTTGGAATGTGTGCAAGCTGGTTCTGAAGTCCACTAAATACATTATTCTGTACATTTCTGCGGTGGCCTGGATTATAGATTCAGAGAGAAAGACCAAGATCAAACCTCTTTTGTTGCAGTGAACAGTGACTTGTGTCCTCTTTTCCGTGACCCTGACTCACACATGAGCCAGAGGCTTTCTCCTGCTTCTTTTCATGTTTGGTGTTTTGTTATTTTAGCAGGAATATTCTACAGCAGCCATTACCAAAGTCAGTAACACCTTAAAAATCAGATGGGTCCTCGTGGGCCCCGAAACAATAACCAAGAAGACAACGTTAAAAATGGCCTCAGCTTCAAACATGTAAATGACGCACCCCATTTTGTAATACACAAATGATTACAATTTGATTATTCAAGTCAAATAATATACACAAATGTTTTAATATTACAAAAAAAATATTTTTACTTTAACACACAATAATTATATAAAACTTTTTTTTTTATGACCTCTCGCGGCCCCCCGTGTAATGACCCCACTGTGGGACACACTGTTCTACTGTGTTTGTTTGAGTGGAATTCACAAATGGAAACACAATGGCAGGATTACAGGAGGTTACCATGACGACAGTGTAAATGAAGGACCACTTTCCCCTCATGAGGTCTAATGATGGAGGTCTAATGATGGAGGTCTAATGACAGAGGTCTAATGATGGAGGTCTAATGATGGAGTTCTAATGACAGAGGTCTAATGATGGAGGTCTAATGATGGAGGTCTAATGATGGAGGTCTAATGATGGAGTTCTAATGATGGAGTTCTAATGACAGAGGTCTAATGATGGAGGTCTAATGATGGAGGTCTAATGATGGAGGTCTAATGACGGAGGTCTAATGATGGAGGTCTAATGATGGAGGTCAAATGATGGAGGTCTAATGATGGAGGTCAAATGATGGAGGTCTAATGATGGAGGTCTAATGATGGAGGTCTAATGACAGAGGTCTAATGATGGAGGTCTAATGATGGAAGTCTAATGATGGGGTTCTAATGATGGAGGTCTAATGATGGAGGTCTAATGATGGGGTTCTAATGATGGAGGTCTAATGATGGAAGTCTAATGATGGGGTTCTAATGATGGAGGTCTAATGATGGGGTTCTAATGATGGAGGTCTAATGATGGATGTCTAATGACGGAGGTCTAATGATGGAGGTCTAATGATGGAGGTCTAATGATGGAGGTCTAATGATGGAGGTCTAATGATGCAGGTCTAATGATGGAGGTCTAATGATGGAGGTCTAATGATGGAGGTCTAATGATGGAGGTCAAATGATGGAGGTCTAATGATGGGGTTCTAATGATGGAGGTCTAATGATGGAGGTCTAATGATGGAGGTCAAATGATGGAGGTCTAATGATGGGGTTCTAATGATGGAGGTCTAATGATGGAGGTCAAATGATGGAGGTCTAATGATGGAGGTCTAATGATGGAGGTCTAATGATGGAGGTCTAATGATGCAGGTCTAATGATGGAGGTCTAATGATGGAGGTCTAATGATGGAGGTCTAATGATGGGGTTCTAATGATGGAGGTCAAATGATGGAGGTCTAATGATGGGGGTTCTAATGATGGAGGTCTAATGATGGAGGTCAAATGATGGAGGTCTAATGATGGAGGTCTAATGATGGAGGTCTAATGATGGAAGTCTAATGATGGGGTTCTAATGATGGAGGTCTAATGATGGAGGTCTAATGATGGAAGTCTAATGAAAGGGTTCTAATGATGGAGGTCTAATGATGGAGGTCTAATGATGGAGGTCAAATGATGGAGGTCTAATGATGGGGTTCTAATGATGGAGGTCTAATGATGGAGGTCAAATGATGGAGGTCTAATGATGGAGGTCTAATGATGGGGTTCTAATGATGGAGGTCTAATGATGGAAGTCTATTGATTGGGGTTCTAATGATGGAGGTCTAATGATGGAGGTCTAATGATGGGGTTCTAATGATGGAGGTCTAATGATGGAGGTCAAATGATGGAGGTCTAATGATGGGGTTCTAATGAAGGAGGTCTAATGATGGAGGTCAAATGATGGAGGTCTAATGATGGGGTTCTAATGATGGAGGTCTAATGATGGAGGTCAAATGATGGAGGTCTAATGATGGGGTTCTAATGATGGAGGTCTAATGATGGAGGTCAAATGATGGAGGTCTAATGATGGGGTTCTAATGATGGAGGTCTAATGATGGAGGTCAAACGATGGAGGTCTAATGATGGAGGTCTAATGATGGGGTTCTAATGATGGAGGTCTAATGATGGAAGTCTAATGATGGGGTTCTAATGATGGAGGTCTAATGATGGAAGTCTAATGATGGAGGTCTAATGATGGAGGTCTGATGATGGAGGTCTAATGATGGAGGTCTAATGACAGAGGTCTAATGATGGAGGTCAAATGTGGCAGAGGTCTAATGTAGCAGAGGTCTAATGTGGCAGAGGTCTAATGTGGCAGAGGTCTAATGTAGCAGAGGTCTAATGTAGCAGAGGTCTAATGACAGAGGTCTAATGTAGCAGAGGTCTAATGTAGCAGAGGTCTAATGTAGCAGAGGTCTAATGTAGCAGAGGTCTAATGACAGAGGTCTAATGTAGCAGAGGTCTAATGT